TATCCATAATGGATTAGTAACATGGACATACGGTATTCCTTATGTTAAATGAGAAAAATAGAAATAAAGGGAAATAGAAATAGAAAAAAAATTATCCTATATAATAGAAAGGTAATATACAAATTGACCATCATGCCCTCGCACAAGATGGTCACCCCCATATGGTCACAAGATGGCCACCACAAGATGGCCGGCAGGGGAGGGCAGTTGTGGGCGATCAGGCCAGCAGGGGAGGGCAGTTGGGGGTGACCGGGCCTGCAGGGGAGGGAGGACAGTTGGGGGGGCCAGGCCAGCAGGGGAGGGCAGTTAGGGGTGATCAGGCTGGCAGGGGAGCAGTTTGGCGTCAATCAGGCAGGCAGACAGGCAAGCGGTTGGGAGTCAGCAGTCATGGATTGTGAGAGGGATGTCCAACCAGCAGTCGGACAACCCCCGAGGGGTCCCAGATTGGAGAGGATGCAGGCTGGGCTGAGGGACACCCTCCCCCCCCCACCCCGCCCAGTGCACGAATTTGATCTCAAACATATAAAAAATACTCAGAAGATAAAAACTATAAAGAATTACAATAAAATGACAGTAGGCTTTCTCCATGATTGTTCTAACTTTTTTGCTCAAATTTCTATAAAGTAATTCTTCTGGAGAGCTAGCAAACCTCACATCCTGCTCCCTTGTCATAAAACCTTTTGAAAAGGCAATGATTTAAGGCCTTTTTTTCTAATGAAGATTTTGATGTGGCCCCAATTTTTTTATGAAATTTCTGGCAAAGCCTTTGATGGCTGTGCATGTGGCGGGAGTAGGGTAACCACGAGAAAGCAAATTTCTTCCCCACAGAGTAGCACAGGTGGGCTACCTGGCACCCCCGGGCTCCACCTGTTTCTGGAGCATCATGACTTTTCATCCCAGGAGAAGTGTTATTTGCCAAAGAAATTTTTCACCATTTCAAAAACATCAGTAGCCCCTGAAATTTCCAAAAGCAGCTCACCAAGCAGGAATTCTTTCTTTTTAAAAATATAATCTTATTGATTTCAGAGAGGAAGGGAGAGGAAGAGATAGAAACACCAACGATGAGGAAGAATCATTGATCGGCTGCCTCCTGCACACCCCCTACTGAGGATCTAGCCTGCAACCCGGGCATGTGCCCTTGACCGGAATCGAACCTGGGACCCTTCAGTCCACAGGCTGATGCTCTATCCACTGAGCAAAACTGGCTAGGCCAAGCAGGAATTCTTTGATAGTGATGGTGAGGATAATGAATGAGCTGAGGAGCTGGCTGTTTCCAGAAGCACACAAGAGAAAAACCAACTCCTCTCTGACTGCTTACGATATGCAGAGGCAAATCGTAGAGGGTAGCTTCTCATTTGACTGGTTTTTTCTTTTGCTCCAAGCTCCAATCAGCTTGACCATCTCTTTAATATTCCACTCATCAAAATATTCCCCAATTTATCGTGGGTGTCTTCATTGCCTGAACAATGGGCTGACCGCTCTTGTTGAATGCATCAAGAAAAGGCTTTGTCTTGGGGAAAACAGAATGTTGGGAAATTTCTAGGCTTTAAAAATGGAATCTTATTTTGAAAATGAGCCATTTGTCACAATTCATTTTGAAAATTGACAGTATAAGGTGCACCCTGGCATTGCAAGATTGGGGTCCTGTAGCAATAAATCACTGCGTTATTTGTCACAGTAAAATCAAAGGATGTATCTGAAGCTACTACATACACTTTTTGTTGTCATTTTCCAAGTGAGTATCCTTAATGTAAGCAATGATACATGTGCAGAGGCACACTAGTAATTGTGAGATCCATTTGCATGCATGCCCATACAAAGGGAAGCTATTCTAAATATCACAGCACAGTTGTGTACCACCTGCTTTTCACAGCAGCATCCTCGGCCACCTGCACTTTTTTGATGACACAGGAATTAATGGCACATTTTAACACAAAAGAGCAAATTTCTCTCACAATGACAACTTTTAAAGTATCAGCAGGATATTTTTAAAAATCCTTTTTCATTCATGGGTATTCTGGTTTATCCATTTGCTAGGACTGCCATAACAAAGTACCACAAACTGGGCTTAAAACGCCGGCATTTGCAACCCCACAGTTCTGAAAGCTGGGAGTCTGAAATCAAGGCAGGTACAGGCCATGCTCCCTCTGAAACCGGGAGGGGAGAATCCTTCCCTGCCTCTTCCTAGCTTCCAGAGGTTTGCTGATGATCTTTGGCATTCCCTGGCTTGCCGCTGCATAACGCCAATCTCTGCCTTTGACATCACCTGGCATTCTCCCTGTGCCTCCATTCACGTGGCCGTCCTCTTATAAGGACACCAGTTAAAAAGGATTAGAGGTCCACTCTACTTTGGTAGGACCTAATTTTAACTAATTAAATTTGCAACACCCTATCTCCAAATAAGGCCATATTCCGAGGTACTGGGAGTGGGGAGTTCCACTTATCTTTTTTGGGGTGACACAATTCAACCTCTAACTCCTGGGGTTCATAGATTTTGGGTTAAGAGCCTGTTGAGAGAGACAGAGGGGACCCAGGGACCAGGGAATATGAAACAAGGGTGCAGAGAAGGAAGGGGGAGGGAGACAAATGCAATTTTGCTCAGTGGTCTGGTGGCAGGGACCTCTCCCTGCTGATTTTGGCGCAAGGACTCTAGTTACTGATGGCAACATTTGGCAATTCCTAGCTCAAGACCCTTAAGGTCTACACTTGAGTCTAGGCTGCAAGTGAAGTTGATGGCTGTGACTAGAACATTCTCTGCTGATGCCATCTCTTTGAAAATGTCTGAATTTTGTGCAGGGGCACACAAGCAGTATTTTCATAAGTGGAGTTACATAATTAGGACATGGACTTGCATAATAATTAGCATGTGTAATTAGGCACAGACTTCTTGTCCTTTAATTAGACAATCAAGACATCTAATTACAAAATTAAGATGTAATTATGTGGCCCAAGATGACATATTTCCTTCTACCCATTAGAGATTATATTTCAAAAATAATTCACAAAAACTGATGAAGACATGGACCTAGGAGCCAGATTTGAGATCCCGAGGGAAGTATTAAGTGGACTGGTATGTCGCCTTTGCTCTCTCCTCTTAGGTGTGTGGGGAGTTATTTAAACTATCATCTCCGACTTGAAAGAATAACTCTTGCACCCCGTGCTGTCAACCTTTGGTACACACGCTAATGAAGAGGAATGTGGGCGTGACTAATCCATGTAATTCGCACATGGCCCTTGATTGTGGTTTGTAATTACACTTGCACAGGGACTGAAATGTGAGGTCCTGGGGATTCATTCAAACCCGATAATGCAGCCATATGGTGGAAACCTGGGTCGGGGGAGCTGGGAGCACAACCCTCTTCCTTTTCTGCCCTGGCTTGGTTCTCCCCTGTGGCCACTTTAAAAGCAGACTCAGCCCGGCTGGCATGGCTCAGTGGTTGAGCGTCAACCTATGAACCAGGAGGTCATGGTTCGATTCCCGGTCAGGGCACGTGCCCAGGTTGTGGGCTCGATCCCCAGTGTGGGGCATGCAGGAGGCAGCAAGTTGGTAATTCTCTCTCATCATTGATGTTTCTTTCTCTTTCTCCTTCTCCCTTCATCTCCAAAATCAATAAAAATATGTTTTGTTTTAAAAAAGCAGACCCATTGCTCAGAATAACACAAATCAACCCTTCAGCTGGACTGGCCTTTGCTTGAATATCTGAGTGTTCGATGAAAAGTTCTTATTTGAAGTGCTCCTCACTGGACTGTAAGTCGGAAGGTCAAAGACTCTAGCAAACATTCCATTTTTCTAATAATAAGTGAGTGATTCTTCCAGCAGTGGGTTTGTTTTTCTTAAGTTCCAGGTCTGCTATGCAGCCCAGCTGTAGTGATACCCCATAGTTTTCCTTGCTCCTAAATTAAGATTTGGCTGATCTCTGCATGATGCTAAACACCCAGTTCGACTCATTAATTTTTCTGAACTAACTGAACTTTTGACCTAATTAGCTGGCTGATCAGGGATCACAGCCATATGTCCAGGGTTTTCAAAACCAGCGCTGACTTTCCCGGCGCTCTCCCTCTGTTCCCATAAACTGTTGAAACGTCCCAGTAACTCCAATGTTTTGACAGCCACATGCACTTCTCAGACTGCCGCTCTCTCCTGGAAAGTGGCATAGAAATCTGTCAGGCGGCATTTCCTGATTTTTGCTTAAGAAAATATGTTTCCCATATGGTTTCAGGCCGTGCAAACAAAGACATGAAGAGGTTGTTAGTGGTTGGTGATGAGGTCTCGTCTCCATGGGGTGTTCCTTCCGTCCCTATTTTTTATTTTTAGGGACGGAGAGAACATTCTGTCCCTAAACATGTGCTGTGGGACAAATGATGTGCAGGGGTCAATTTTGACCAAGAAAATAGACAAATGTGCACAGGGAACTTATTTCTGCCATTGCGACTTTTTACCCCTTGCCTTCTGAAACAATTGTTCATGGTAGATTTAGAGCAGTGGTTCTCAACCTTCCTAATGCCGCGACCCTTTAATACAGTTCCTCATGTTGTGGTGACCCCCAATTTCATTGTTACAAATGGAACATAATTAAAGCATAGTGATTAATCACAAAAATAATATGTAATTATTTATGTGTTTTCCGATGGTCTTAGGCGACCCCTGTGAAAGGGTCGTTCGACCCCCAAAGGGGTCGCGACCCACAGGTTGAGAACCGCTGATTTAGAGGCAAAGGGAGACATGTGTTTTAAAGAACAATTTATTGATGGGCATTTTAGGTGGGGAAGGGCATTTGGACATCATATCTCAGGGGTCACTCAATCCAGAGTAATTTACGGGGTTCTATGCCACTCACTCCCCTATAGGCCTCTACTTCTTCAATCCTTAGGTATTGTCAATGGAAACAGCTTTTCCTATCATTACTTCTGGAGGACTCAATAATTCTGACACCTTATAAAGCCGAAAGCATGAATGCCAACTTCAGTTTCTCTGGTTTTTAATTTGCTTTTCCCCTCAGGTACTCCACTTCGGCATTTTCAAGACTGGAGAAGTTGGGCATCAGACATCCCAAGCCTTCTCCTTTTATTGGAAACCTGACGTTTTTCCGCCAGGTAAGGGCTGTTGTCCATGCCTTCCAGCATAAGACATGCTGAGCCCAGTGCAGCTTTGCCCTGAAGCACTGCTCCTGTCTAGGTCACCCACACCTGGAGTGCTTGGTATGGGAACGTGCTATGTGATGACAATGACCTATTGCTTATCACTCATCAATATGCACTGAGTCCTATCATCCATTCACCCAAAAAACCCAGTTATTTAGTGTCTAAATGTGCCAGCCCTGGAGTGTGGAAGAAGTAGAAGTTACTTATGCCCTCAAGGGCACATACCAAATAGTGGTGGACATCACCAGATCAGATCTATCCTAGTGCTAGATGGGGTAGCTGTCCTTCAGAGGAGAGGGAGAGCCATGCTGGAGGACTTCCTGGAGAAAGGGGTCCTGCAGGGGCAAAAGACACAAAGACAAGAACACACAAGCCAGATGCAGAGCGACAATGTGTGTGATGCACCTGCCTGAGAACCAGGGCACAGCTTGATGAGCAGTCTGGAAGCCAAAGACTGGGAACCCCTGTGGAATGCAGCTGTGAGAGAGGGAGGGAAGGGGAGGTGGAACAATTTCCTGACAGTCTAGAAAGGCAAGTGAAGGACCATTCATGTGCTATCATTTGTGAGTAAGAGAGGGACAGCAAAGCGGGCGATTACTCTGTAAGGGAGAGAATTTAGGTCAGGACTGCAGAATCCAACTGTTGTTGAAGTCTAGGTGTGAAGTGAAGACTTGGCCCAGGGTGCTAATAACAGTGAAAAGAGAGGGGTGTTGGGGACAAAATTAGTACCTCATGTGACTAATTAGGTGTAGAGAATTCAGAGCAAGATGAGTCAAATGTGCCTGTAACTTTGGAGCCAGGGAAACGGGAAAATGGCCATGAGTTGTTGGAAGGGAAGCTGGTTCAGTGAGATGCCTTTGACTTGTCAGAGTGACTGATTAGCAAGTGGAAATGTCTGCATTTGTAGATATAGGCCCAGGGCTCTATGTTCTAAACTCGATGTTCCCTCACATTGGGTTTTCTCAGAAGCCAATGGTCTATTCTGCTAACTCATGGGGGTGCTGCCACTAGACCCAACATCAGGAGCCAACAGATTTAGCGTGTGAGAGCCACTAAGCCAAAGGCAGGAAGGACCAAATTTGGGCCAGTCCTGATAATAACCCTTTGAGGTCTTTTCAGAATCCCCCCACCCCCGCCCCCCGGAAAGGCAGGCCCTTGGTGCCAGATAGAAAATCACGCTAGCTATTTCTGTCCTGCTTCCTTCTCAGTTGCTCTCTCACATCAGTGTCTCTCTCCCTAAAAATTCAATAAAAACATATTTTGAAAAAAATACAATGACCAGTGGTCAGGCCCTGGGAGCCTTCACCATCCCTCACAACAACGGGTGCGTGAAGGTGGGCTGCAATGGGACCAGTGGCCCTCTATACATTGGTCTATTTTGCCTTCATAACCCATAGCAGGTCTTTCCCCATGAACTTATCTGAAGCCTACGTGGACCTGTATACTATAAAATATACTGTCAGCTGTATGACCATATCATCTACCATCCATTCCTCTGTCCCTTTCTCTGTCTGACAGCCACTTTCACTCTTTACTGTTGTTGTTTCTCTCTTCTTAGTGTTTTTAAAAAAAACACTTCTTCTCATCTCTATCTCAGGGTGGCCAGTTCACAACGTTAAGCCCACAGCTATCTCATACGGGCTCCGTGTGAGATTCCTGAAGCAAGTGTGAAGAAATTTCTGTGTCAAAATAGAACAACAGCCCAGATAGGAAATTTAATACATTTCACATATTTTGGTGTGTGTGTGTGTGTGTGTGTGTGTGTGTGGTGATCAGTTGCATTCAGTTGAGTAATTACTTTGGTATTAACATTTGGAGTCGGACTGTCGATGTGGAGAGAACATTGTGCCCCTCCCTCTGGATAATTTCCAGGATGCTCTTCTTCAGCTCGTCATCCTTGTATGTACAAACTCTGCCAAGTTCTCTGAGAACACAGCAATTTCAGTGACTGTTTTGATATTCATATATGATTTCCTTGCTATATGGCAAACTTAGACCATGAAAGTCAGTTTAATGAAAATGGAATGTATTTCCATCAAGGACACCCACCTCTTTGATCTCCCCAACTTTAAACTCTCACCCACCCGTCCTATGTCTGCCCATATTCTTGTATTCTCCATTCCCACAATACAGGGCTAGCATTTTCCACCTCCATCCCAACCCATGCATGCTTTAATGTAAACTTCATTTCCACAATACAATGGATCTAGCAATTTCTAACCCTTCACCCATACAATCCCTCTATGTGTATCTGCACACATACTCCATCCCTATACACAAGTCCATCTCTACAACACAATGAGTTTAGCATTTTCTGAGCCTCCACCCACATCCCCACACATACCTCCATATATAATCATTCCCCACTATGAAATGTGTCATGTTTTGTCCTATATAAAGTTGCTCTAAGGTTCTGAATATGTTGATTTTAGTTAAAATTGAACTTGGATGACGATAATTCAGAATTTGTGATAATTTGGATAGACCCAGCAGATGTTTACACATAGACTGGCTGTGAAAAGAAGCTTTGCCAAAAATAATAATAATATAAACCAAATTGCAGAGGGGAATGTTAACATAGTTGGGAAAGCAAACAGTTTTCAAATATTTTAGCAGCAATTATACACAAATAGTTTAAGTACAGATGATCTTTTCTGTCCATGAAAGCAGAGCTGATGGAGACTTTTCCTTGGCAACATATATATTTTTAAAGCTATTAGTTTATTCTAATACTCCAAAGTACTTGAAAGCAATATCACTTCAATTCTTTTTTATTGTTTATGTAATTGCATTCTCGCTGTTCCAGACTTCTTTTCTGAATACTAAGTTTGAACACTTGACATTTTGTTGAATAGTATTCTTACTCTAGTGTGTGTTTTCTGCAGGGTTCCTGGGAAAGCCAAATGGAGCTCAGAAGGCTGTACGGACGTCTGTGTGGGTAAGAGGGAAACTCCGTTCTTCTACCATTTTGATTTTTGTGTGGTGAATTGTTTGGAAGTAATAACAGGATGGGAAGGTATATGTGTTTCTATCTTTTGAGGATCCACAAAAGGGAGTGCCCAGAAGGTGAGGCCCCTAGAAAGACCGCAGAGTTGGCCAAGGGGGCATCAGTTAGCTTGAAACACCACCACTTCCCAGGCTTTAAGACCCTGACCATCCCTGGCTGGTGTGGCTCAGTTGGTTGAGCATCATCCCATGCACCAAAAGGTCACTGGTTCCATTCCTGGTCAAGGCACATGTCCGGGTTATGGGATTGATGATCCTCAGTAGGAACATGCAGGAGGCAGCTGATCGATGTTGTTCTTTCACATCAGTCTCTCTCTCTCTCTCTCTCTCTCTCTCTCTCTCTCTCTCTCTTTCTTTCCCTAAAAATTCAATAAAAACATATTTTGAAAAAAATACAATGACCAGTTGGTCAGGCCCTGGGTGCCTTCATCATCTCTCACAACAACGGGTGCATGAAGGTGGGCTGCAATGGGACCAGTGGCCCTCTATACATTGGTCTATTTTGCCTTCATAACCCATAGCAGGTCTTTCCCCATGAACTTATCTGAATCCTACATGGACCTGTATACTGTAAAATATACTGTCAGCTGTATGATCATATCATCTACCATCCATTCCAGTATACTTTGAAAGTGAAAGGGGGTGTTATTAATAACTAGAGGTTTGGTGCATGAAAATTCATGCACTGGAGGAGGGGTCCCTCAGCCTGGCCTGCCCCCTCTCACAGTCTGGGAGCCCTCAGGGCCAGAGGCGACCTGGCAATCAGGGGAAGGTGATGCCCCATCACACCTCTGCTGCTGCCACTGACGGCAGCGCAAGCCTTGGCCAGCCCTGGTTACCTGCGCCTTGGGCCGGCCCTGGGCGGCTGGGCAGCCACCATCCGAGGCTTGCCTGCACCTCAGGCTGGCCCTTGGCAGCTGGGGGGCTGAGGGGACTGGAGGCCTTGCCGCGTACCTGCCACCCTGGTGGGGCTGAAGGGACTGGGCACCGCCATATTGTGGCTGTGGGCACTGGCATCTTTGAGAGCAGGGTAGTCAATTAGCATATTCCCTCCTTATTAGATAGGATTACCCCAGGACAGCAGTGGAAATTAAGGCTGGCCTGTATGTACATAGGGTCACCCTAGTTCTCAACCAGGTAAAGTAATATAGACTTCCCTTTATTATTCCCTGAATTTTCCCTTTTACACTTCAGAGTGTGCTCCCCACCAACTTTATAAAAAAAAGAAAAAGAAAGAAAGAAATTCTGGAATCTAATGAACAAACCCATGCTCAGAGCATTTGCCCTATTCAAGATTTCACAGACTCGAATCAATTGACTCTCAACATGTGTCTTTCCACAGTGGTGTCCTAATCATTTCAGGCTGTTGTCACACAGTTTATCCTTAGCCACTGGGTAATTTTAGTAGCTCTTTTCTAGACTTCCAGGTCAATGATAACTTTTCTGGGACAGTAAATTTCTGTTGTGTTCCTAATACACATCCTGATGGGGTCCAGTGTCTTGTGAGTCCTCCAACCCCAGGATACGTGATGCTTGTTCTCCCAGCGATGATTTCCGAAAGGGATTGACTTGTGTCCTGCGTGGACACAGCCCTTCCCAGGAAACTCACAGTTTGGCCAAGGTCTGCTTAACCACTCTTTAGTTGGCTATGTGACACCGTGAAAGTAATAAATTAAGATGTTATACTAGATGCTCTCTGTATGAGTTTGTTATTGCTGTATAACAAATTACTCTAAAATGAAGTGACTTAAACAACAAATTATTTTTTATCAAGTGCCTAAGGGTTGTCTGGAATTGACTAATCTGAGCTATGCTTGGCTGGGAAGCTGAGATGAGCTTCCTGGTGCACCTGCAGGTCAGCTGGGGAGGTGGCTCCTATAGGTCAGGCTCAGCTGGGGCAGCTCTGCTCCACATGCCTCTCATCCTCCTGGGAACAGCAGGCAGGCAGGGCAGGCTCTTCTCAAGGCAAAGATTCAAGAGAGCAAACTCAATAGCACAAGGATATTTTGAGTGTCTGCTGTACCATATCTGCTAACATCCTATTGGGCAAACCAAGTTATATGGCCAAACCCAGAGTCAGGGCAGGAAGTTATGTGGCCAACCATGACATTGATGGAGCAGGAAGGTGTATTCCTCTGATGGAAGGACCAGAAGATGGTGCATATCTTTCAGTAATAAGCAACTCTACCTCACTCTCTAAGATCTCTTTCAGCTTAGTCTTTCTTTTCTTGTGTGTGTGTGTGTATCGCTTCTTGCTTTCGGCATGATAGCTACTCAACAGAGGTCCAAGGAATTGAACTGTTTACCTTTCTCTTTCTCCTGTGTGGTTCTATTGCTCTGTAAAGGTTCTCCTTCCACCTTTTCCTTTCCAATAGTCTCACTTTGCAGTTGATTTGACACTGACCTTGCAGACGGTCTCAAACATTTTTGAGGCATCGAACTGACTCAGAATGACAGTAGCTTCCCCAGAATTAGAAAAGGCCTCACTGAACTTGAATTCTAGGAACTACTTCCTTGAGTAGTTCTTGTACAGATTTTCAGAGTAGAGCCATTGGTATTTTAAAGTAATCTTAAAATTTCAGATGAAGAATTTAAAGGGCACTGTAATAACTGGTGGGTGGTGTGGTGCCGTGTGTGTGTGTGTGTGTGTGTGTGTGTGTGTGTGTGTGAGAGAGAGAGAGAGAGAGAGAGAGAGAGAGAGAGAGAGAGAATAAGAAAAAGAAAGAAAATTGGTTTCCTTGACAACAGGATGCCCAATCAACTTTTCCCCAACTTTAACTACTAGTAAGTTAGCACAATTTATCCTTTTCATTTCAGGAAAACTTAAATCAAAGAGAATGATTTCAAATGAGGTTGTAGAGATAGAAATTACAGTAGTATCTCCACTCTTTGTTCCCAGCTCTGGTGAAAAGGAGAGAGAGAGGGGGAAAAAAAAGAAAGGTGATGGTATAATTTCTTCACACAAAGATATCACCTTTCTCTGTTTTAGAAAAAAACATGAGCCACAAAATACTGTTGACTTCTGTTGAAACGTGCCCACTCCTGCAGTTAGAGGCAGCATTGCGGTGGGGTAAAGTCTATAATCTGGATGACACTCAATATGCTCACCTTTTAAAACAGAAGTGTTGCCTACTTTCAGTCAAGATGGCAGCATAGGCAAATGCAGTACTTGAATCCTTCCACAATCAAATCAAAATCACAACTAAATTACAGAACAACCATCATTCATACTGCCTGAAATCTAGCTGAATGGAAGTCCTATGACTAGGGATTTAAAGAGGAAGAAACATTGAGACTGGTAGAAGGGCAGAGATGCAGAATGGGCTGGTCCCACACCCATGTGTGGCAGATAAAAATTGGGAAAGATATCTTGGCTGTGGAGGTCCTCCTGAGGACTAAGAGGTCCCAGCCTCACATCAGACCCTCAAGCCCAAAGCCAGGAAGAGAAGTCCTCATAACTTTGGGCTGTAAAACCAGTGGGGATTGTGACTGAGAGACACAGAGGCTGCTGGAATCCCAGGCAGTTCCTCTTAAAGGGCCAGTGCATAGACTTACTCAAAACTCACTCCCTCTGAGCTTTAGTGCTACAGCAGCAGCTTGAAAGGAGCCATACGGGGAGCTGGGGATGGCAGCTTCCTATCAAAGAGAAGTGCTGGCAAAGGCCATTGTTCTTTTGCTGATCTCTCCTCCACAGAGCTGGCAGGTGGGCACCATATCTGAGTCTCCATTAACCTGGCTCACACTGTTTGCCCTACCCTGGTGATTCCCTGAGGCCCAGCCCCACCCAACTTGCAGGCCTATGCAAGCCATTTCCAGTAGCTTTTTCATACAAATGACCTCTCTTGCTTCATGCTTCAGATGTTCCTAAAGTCTCTCAAACAAGCAGCATCTGGTCTCTGCATACCCTATACCTCTTGCTAAGTGGCCCCAGGCATGATATTACTGGAATCCAGCCTTGGTTCACAGCTTGGCCTCTCCTGGGCACCTCTAAGCCAAGCACAAGTAGCAGCCATCTGAAGATCACTCTGTAGCCTGTGCCAGGTGGCCCAGGCAGGGCACAGGCAGTGGCTGACCTTGCACCTCCTGGGAGGCTCCAAAGCCAGTGCACCCAGGGTAGACCATGCTGGATTACAACCCTACCACTTCCATGAGCAACACATTCAAGGGGTGGACTCGGTGGGCACCAAAGTCCACTGAAAGTCCTGCTCCGTTGGTTCAATTCCTGGACAGCAGCTTCTCCACTGTAGTCTCAGCCAGTCCTCACAGCTGATCAGCCTGGAGGTCAATCCCTCCCAGTGACACCAAGAGTAATCAAGGCTCAACTACAATTGGACAGTGCATACAGCCCACACAGGGGCACACCTGGAGCACCCAGCTTGGGTGACTGAGGAGGCTGTGCCACTGGGCCCAACAGGACATCTATTACACAAGGCCACTCTACCAAGTTATGGAGAAATAGCAGCTCTACCTAATACACAGAAATGAGCATAGGGAAGCAGTGAAAATGCAGAGACAAAGAAACAGGTCCCAAATGAAAAAACAGGAGATATCTCCAGAAAAATAACTAAACAAAATGGAGACAAGTAATCTACCAGATGCAGAGTTCAAAACGATGGTTATAATGATGCTCAAAGAACTTAGTGGGAACTTCCTAAGCTGCTGCCCCAGCACTAGAGTTTCATATCTTGAAACATGAAAAAGGACATAGAAACCATAAAAAAAAAAAAAGAACTAGTCATGTGACTTAGTGGTTGAGTGTCAACCCATGAACCAGGAGGTCAGGGCACAAGCCCGGGCTGTGGGCTCGATTCCCACTAGGGGGCAGGCGGGAGGCAGCCAATCAATGATTTTCTCTCATAAATGATGTTTCTGTTTCTCCCTCTTTGAAATCAATAGAAATATATTGAAAGAAAAGAACTAGTTAGAAATGAA